TATATTTTACTATATTTTACTATATTTTACTATATTTTACTATATTTTTATAGTTTAAGGTTTTGAAATTAATTAAAATTTTCTTCACTAAAAAATAGAAAATAAATTACCTATAACATTTTGTACTAATGTAAGGCCATTTTCATTTGTAATTCTCTTTCTCCTGTTTCGTCTGTTACTATTAAATAATTTTCCGTTTTACATGCGTAAAAGTATATCCCAGATCCGCGGAACAACTATGGGTCTATCAAGTATCTAGGTCTAGTCTAAGTCGGCAACACTTTCAAAAATTTAGGTTAAAATAAGCAGATACTCATTATTGCGCATGTCGAGTTATTTTTACTCACCTCTTTGACATGAGTTAAGAAAGTTAACTCGAGAGTTAATTCTATCAAATTTATGAACGGCTTACTCTGAACGTACTTCCAGTCATATTCGAGTTTCTGAACGCTATAAAGCTAACTCTAGTTAACTCTGAGTTAAAGAGTAAACTTTATGAACGCAGCCTTGGAGGTTACTCAGAGTCATAATCTTGACAATATATGTCAAGGTCAAGATCATTGGGGGGGTCCCCTAATCGGAACTTTTACCTTAATTTCTTCTGCGAAATAATGTTTCTTAACCTATATCACATTCTAACCAAAAAGTTTTCTTTCATCCAGAAATGTTATAATCGAAGAAATCGGGCAAGTAAATTTTTTATCAAATAAGCAGCATGGTTTATTTTCGAAATTTTGAATTCTAGATAATAAAGAAAAATAAAACCAAGATTTATTTTTTTAATTTATCTTCGATCAGCAAACATGCAATAGAAAAAAGAAAAAGATGTTACAACAAAGTCATCGAAAGAATCTGTTTGGAAATATTCTACAGAGTAGGCCAAAAGTCTGGATACATCCAAATATCTCATAAACGATACATTTTAGAAAAGAATGTTTCAAACAAAAGTTGTAAAGCTTAAAAAGACGCATTTAACGATAGTAGTTATTTGATCTAGAATGGCGTTGTCAAGGTCACGTCAAGGTCAACTTAATTTTTTTAAATGGAACCCCCTACTTTTTATTTCAGATTCTTGTAGGTTATGTTGAGACGTTTTCAAAACACATCATCAACTCTTTTCCGATGAGAACTTCCTGAGTTATGAGTCTTTAAAGTTTATACCGCCGGCATTAGAATTATCTGTGGCGGCAATAGCGCCAGAAAGTAGGTTGCCCGCACGCACGGGCGCCGCGAATCGAAAACCAGACGCAGCGAGTTTTCGCGCAAGCACTACGCAGGCCCCGTTTTCTTGCGAGTGCTTGCGTCGAGCATACCGCGAGTAGCGCAACGCCCCAGGGGACGAAAGCGCAAAGCGTGTACTCACGCGAAAAACTCACTCCGACGAGGGATAAAAAGCCTGTCGCGACAACGGCCCGACGCTCACGGCGCTTCCAAGAGTCTATTGTGTTGTAACCAGGGAAAGACGCTCAGACTATCCTCAGCACGGAAAGACAGTGGATCCCAGCAGTCACGCTGCCGCAAGTAACGAGGCTCGCAGACACCATCCAGGCTGGCCACCGCTTCACCCGAGGAACTACTACGGGCAGCGACGGGGAACTGGCGACTGCACTGGCTGGATATATCCCCGAGGCGCCTCCGACTGACGTTGCCGCCAGGAGTGACGCTCAACGAAGGAGACAGCCGCCAACATCAGCCGACATCACCGAGCTGCCTTTTTGCACCGAGTTACTGTCACCATTGCCGGACACTCCACCAGGCAGAGGCACCGATCGACTACAGCATCGGCAGCCACGCAGACCTCGGAAGGAGAGTGGACTCCGACGAGGCCACCGCAGGGATTGTTCTCGCCGCACACGCCACCGGGCATACCGCCAGTGGAGAGACTACTTGCGGCTCTCGATCCCGCCTGACTACATCCTCGCGGACCGGAACAATAACGAGAGGAAATCTTTGCGGTGGACGACCACACGGCCATACCTGAGCTACAGAGAGCGACCAGCGCCGTAACCCGCGAAAACGGCCCTTTTCAGGGCCACCCTGTATATAATTAACGTGTAAATATACTGTACATGTACCTGTGTTATATCTACAGCACATCCGCTACTCCTGCTTCGTACCGTGCGCACGGAGAGCAGTGAGGCCGATAGCGACGGCCGCTGTTCGACGTACTACACGAAACGACGTACAAAACGAAAACCGCTAAATTATCCAAGATATGCCGCGTGGAGATTGCTCGGTCGGGTTTACATCTCTTGTGTGCGTGAGTGCACATGTGTGTGTGTGTGT